GTATGTATATTATTTAACAAATTTGGATAGACTATTCAGATATTATAAAAATTGATAGAATCACTTAAATTTACAAATGAATTAATTCTTACATAAATTGCCTTTTACTCTTCAGAAAATATAGGCTTGACAAAAATATCACCTTGTTTAGAAATCTTAAGACTTTAATTGACTTTTGTTGAAATTAAGCATTAATTATAAATAAATGCCTAAATCACATATACAGAGGATTTAACCTATAATGTTTTCTTAACAAAGCAATTGGTTGTATCCAAAGTTGTAAAATAGTTTTTCTTAGAGTCCATATTCTCTTTTCTTCTTTTCCTATCCTTTGAACCCCCCCCCCAAAAAAAAAAAAATCAAATCAAATCAAAGAAACAAACCCATATTGCTATTGTGAATAGCTGCAGTTTTTCCTAGGATCTTGCATTTGGGTGGGGTGGGGTGGAAGTACTAACCTACAAAGGCTATATTAAATCAAAAGGACTGTTGTCTCCCAATGATGGTATTTCAAGCACTGTGATGAGAGATGGGAGAGTTATTAGGGCAGGAGTAGGTAAGGTGTTTCATACCATGCAGCTATGTACAGAAGAGTGTCCCTGATGTGAAAAGGTTCCTTATTGGGACTACTTTGTTTTGTTTCTAGAACTGCATGATTAAATGTGACAGTATTATTGTTTTTTCATAGTATAAGACCATGAAGTTAAGAATACTTAAGTGCATATACCTCATTCACCATCAATATTAATAAAAGCATAATATGCTAATTAGACCAGACGGTCTTCTGGACAAAGCTGGGGTTGCAAGGGAAGCCCAGGTCCTGGGGGTCAGAGGGAAGCCGGTGCCAGCAGCTGGGGGAAGGAAGGCCTACTCATGCACAAATTTTGTGCATTAGACCTCTAGTTTTTATATATAAACACTAGAGGCCTGATGCACAACATTCATGCACACAGGATTGGGGGCGTCATTCAGTCCAGCCTGTGCCCTTTCACAGTCTGGGAGCCCTTGGGGGATGTCCAACTGACGGCTTAGGGGAGTAGGCCTAAGCCGTCAGTCAGACATCCTTAGCTCTACCACGAATGGCCACGGCCACTGTGCTTGCCAGCCATCAGCCCAACTTCTGGGTGAGCGGCACTCCTCCTATGATGAGCATCTGCTCCCTGGTGGTCAGTGCACATCACAGACCGGTTGTTCTGTCATTCGGTCGATTTGCATATTATCCTTTTATTATATAGGATTGGAATTCCTATTGCTTTTTTTTTTTTTTTTTTTTTTTTCATCCTCTCGCTTGGATATGTCCATAGCTTTTGGAGAGAGAAAGGTAGGGAGGGAAAGAGAAACATCAGTCAGTTGCCTCCTGTGCAAGCCCCAACCAGAGATCGAACCCACAACCTAGGTATGTACACTTAGCAGGAGTCAAATCCAAAGCCTCAAAGCATATGGGATGATGCTCTAACCAACTGAGCCACCTGGCCAAGGCCCTATTGCTTTTAATAGTCTGTGTGCTCTTGGAGAAGAAAGATAGGACAACTTTCTTAACTGCTTATGATTATAGTTCTGATTTCCTTTTTTTTTTTCTTTTCTCAAAGCTTATAATTCTACCTCTTGATTAATTATTTTAAATTGGAGAATCTTATTTATCTTTTGTCTCTTTGTACTAGTTGCTAATTTACCTCTGTTTCTCTGAAGACAAATTTCCAAATTAACTGTAACTTTTCCTCTGTTCTTATTGAAGGGAGCCTTGCTACAAAGAAGTAAAAGATCTTTTTTTTCCCCTCTAATCTTTCTACCTTTTTAGTTTCTCTTGAACCAAGTGGCTAACTATAATTCCTTCTTTTCTTCCACATGATGTCTGACATTGTCCATCTCCTGTAGCCTGTCCTCCATTATTTTAGTGTGCTTCCTTCTCTTGTCTGGATTTCCGCATTGCCCTAGGAAGTCTGCCAGTATGTGTTGATGAAGGACGGGACAGGAAAGGTAAGAGAGATAAACACTGTCCTATGAGAGAAATACTAAGAGTAATTTACTTTTAGTAGTTTACTTTTCTCAGTCTATCCTTTCTTACTTGGCTTAGAATTAGGAACCTATTTTCCAAAAAGCTACATGCCAAGAGAGTTCATTTGCATATATAAAAAGTTGAACCTACAAATAATTCAAAATAGTTCAAAACAGTTTGATTTCTTATATGTATTTAGAAATAAAAAGAGAGACAAGAGCACTTTCATACGGAAAGAGGGTTCTGCATTATAAACTCCAAATAATAATCACTTGATTGTTGACATTTAGTTTAAAGATACCGGCTAAAGTGAATTGGGTAAGTTTGGTATTGTGGAACCTATTTTAACTAGATTGGTTATTTATCAGCATTAGAATAATTTATAAAATTAGGCTTTTAGTATCTTTTCCTTAACACTAGAGTGGTCCCTGGGGTGAACTTCTAGTTGTGTAAGTTTTCCTTTAGGCTTACAATTTTAGGAGTTAGCATTTATCCTAAAGGATGGTTTTTTATAGTTTGATTAGAAATTCAGAGAGTGAGAATATATTCAGAGGAGCTAATGTTTCTCTTTCCTGGTGAGCTGATGCAGAATTGCTCATGAGGGGATTTCCTAAAAATTTACTTAATTGAATAAAGTTAAAGCAGTTTAATGACATTTAAGATTCTGAGTTTCATTTTCAATGAAGCTAAGATAACCAGTTAAATATAAGACATTATTGTCTGATTTTATAACATCTGATTTCTTACACAAATCAATAAATATTGAATACCGAGAGGCAAGAGTTTTTTTTGTTTGTTTGTTTTATATATATTTTTACTGATTTCAGAGAGGAAGGGAGAGGGAGAAGGAGAGAGAGATAGAAACATCAATGATGAGAGAGAGTCATTGATCGGCCTCCTGCACACTCCACGCCAGGGATCAAGCCACAACCCAGGCATGTACCTTGACTGGGAATTGAACCATGACCTTCTGGTTCATAGGTTGACATCAACTACTGAACCAAAACAGATGAGACCCCAAAGCAGACTTATAGCATTAGAGTCAAGTATTCAGGAGTAAATGAGAGATTTAAAGGCAGTATCCATCCACAGAATTTGTTGATGGATTCAATATAGGAGATGATATTTAGGAAAATATAAAAAATAATTATTAGTGAATCAGTGAATTGGGAGATAGAGCTGAAGAAATTGTTTGGCATAGCAGCATATAGGGACAGGCTGAAATAGTTTAGGGGAAATGGTGGATAGAGAAAGTCTTCTAATTGGAATACTAGAAGAAGAAAGAATATAAAGTAGATTTAATGTTTAAAGAAGCCCAGCAGGATTTTTAAAATGTATATTTATTGACACACCCCTTAAAAGATCTGTGTCTGCCAAAGAACTTAAAAGCAGTCAGGAAAAAAAGGACATCACCTTTAAAGGAGACCATCAACTGATTTCTCAATAGCAACAGAGGATGCCAGAGACAAAATGATACCTAACTGCTCTGAAAGAAAATAACTATTAATCTAGAATTCCATGTCTAGCAAAAAAATTTTTTCCAAGAAAGAGGGCATTAATTAAGATATTTCCAGACAACAAAAGCAAAGAATTGCCACGACTAGACCCTTTATAGAAAGAATTTCTCTCTAAAGGAAGTTCTAAAATAGCTATAATTATTTAAATCCAAAAGAAAAAAAAAAGAATGTTGACAATACAAAGTGGGTAAGTCACAACATACACATTGTTTAAAACAACAATATATTTTTGAGTTTTTTGAAAAGAAAATACACAACAACAATAGCATATACATTGGGAAGGTTGTTTAAAGAAATTGAAGTATATTGAATGTTAGGTCTTTTTAAATGTTAATACCTATATCACAGAGGTAGTTAGGAATGCAGGACTAAAGAAGAGAAGAGGTATCATGCCCAAAGATAACTGTGATATAAACCTTGAACTTCAAGAGTGAAAGAAAAGCTTAAAAAAAGGAGAGGGCTGGGTTTTGAAAATTGCTTCTTTAGGGAACTAGAAGAGAAGGAGCCAAATACTAATCTGAGAGGACCAGACCTATGTTCCAAATGAAATGAGATATTCCAAGAAAAAGAACTTCTGTCACTGGCAATGTTCAAGCAAAGGCTTACTGGATTCACCTGTTGTGGAAGGGATTTCTGCCATGGATAGGAGATTTGATTAAAGATCTCTCGATTCTACAGTTCTCTTATTCTGACTAACACTTAAGAAAGAGTACTTCCTTCAGTACTTAAGACTACTTCTTTCAGAACCACATCTGTTTGGTTGAGGCCACCAAAATCAACCAGTGGCTTGATAACTCTGGCATGGACCTGTTCAAGTGTCATGAGAATGCTCACTTCCAGGTTCTCCATGCATTTTCACAGGCTTGGTCCTTAATTCACCTAGAAGTATTGATCAGGCCATCGGATTCATGAATATGTGATGCTAGAACCAGAGATGATAGTTAAAATATTTAAAATAATATTAAAATAAGGCACTGACAGAACAAATGCAGGCTATAAGCCATCAGTGTAGCCATACTAGTGCACATTGGCTGATTAGAACGAAAGTAAAACGAAGCCATGTTTTCCATGAATTGTGATACAGGTGTAATAATAAAACTTGTCTGATGATAGTTATTTTCTTCCTTGAGTGTCAGAAATTAAGATGATCTGAGGCTTGTAAATTTTCAGGAACCTGGCAATAGTTGATGATACAAATCTTAGTTTCAGGTTGTTAAATCCATTTTGTACCTTTATGTCAGTCCTTACCAGCCATTCTCTTAACATAATGACCATAAATATAAATAACTTTCCATTTGCTGCATGACCCACTGAAGTATAATGCTACAAATTTGTCAAGAGACTTAAGACTTACTTCATCCACAGATTTGTCTTTGCGCTTTCCTTTATATTTTTAGAAATTTCATTTTCACTTCTCTTCTTTCTTTCCTAGCTTTGTTCAGTCCAGTTATTTGATGTTATTTTATAAGGAAGATGAGAAACTGTAA